GTCAGGACAGCTTTCCACCAGCTGAAGGTGGTTTATTTGAGGATGCCTTCGTGCATCTGGACACACTGTTCCAAACCACCTCCACGGGAGACTGATCTTCAGTACAGTTCACTGGGTCTAAGTCCAGCCACCAGCCTGACTTCTTCAAGAACACAGGCTATCAGTTCCCAACTTCGTACTTCACCTTCAGGAACAGACCTGTGTCGACCCTGAGGCTTTAGAGAAAAGAGAACCACTACTTTTTTTGGTTGATCATCTCACTGCTATGTTTGTTTTTTTTTAAAAAAAGCCATGCCTACCTGATGTCATCAGTGGGGCTGCCTTTTTCCTCTGGAATTTGGCCCAAATTCTCCTGTTCTGAAGTTTTTGTTTCTTGAGGTTGGGGTTGTGTGTACTGTTGCACTTTTGTGCACCCGCTGGTATAATTTAGTAAATCTGTCATTTATGCTCAATATAACAGTCATTTAACGGCAGGAGCTCACCAGTACAATTAACCCTGTTCCGTCAAAATGAGGAGCTGATTAGCTTGGCATTCACAGGAGCATAGAGCACAGTTAGAGTGCTGCCGTTTCTGGCCCTCCCGGAGCACTATTGCAGTCAATTGATTATTTTGTTAATTTGTTCTGCATCAGTATCCTGCTGGTTTATTATCATCCAAATTACTTTATGCGCCATGCATAAGTACAAGTATATTAAAAATCAATACTTGAACCTTTTTCTCTCGTAAAGATCTTACTATCCATGGGCTACCATCTTTGATACATGACCTCCATTCTCAGTACAACACGGCTAGTAACTTTTACATGATGTAGTTGCATGCTAATAAAGTAGATGCTCGGATTTTACTCGCTACTTAATCCTGTATCCTAACAAAAAAGGAATAAATGAATTAAGAATGAAATAAACAAAAGGCTGTTATTGCTGATAAATAAGCCTAATTTTGAGACAGTAAAATTCATGTTATTTTAGTAAGAAAATCTCGTTCCTTCACTAGGTTCTAATAAGTATCATGCTTCACAGGCTCAAATCATTTACAGATGCCGTTATCAGAAGCCTGAGTCTTATGAATGCTGTTTTTCCTGCTTCAGTTAGAGAAACAAATATTTAAAAGATGGCATGAGGTTGTATTATGCATTGGATTGAGGGCTGGATTCCAGGTGTGAACTTGACACAAGTAGATGGGATTATGGCTGTTATAAGATCAGAATGTTTTCCAGTGATTTTCTACCATTGCACATGCAAAGATGTTCTCTCTTGTATATGTGTTTGAAACATATGACCGGCGATATGATCCTTAATGCATTTATGTTACTGATGTCACAGGGAGGCCTGCTCTTCTTTAAGAAGAAAACCATAAGATAGAAGTGGATAGAAGCAGAATCAGAATCAGATGTGGTCTCTCTCCTGATCTAGACTAGATATAAAAGCACAGGTTGATATGACAATGTGCACTGGCAGCCCAGAAAGTCAACCGTACCCTGGGCTACATCCAAAGCAGGGTGACCAGCAGGTCGAGGGAGGGGATTCTGCCCCTCTGCTCCGCTCTGGTGAGACCCCCCTGCAGTACTGCCTTCAGCTCCGGGGTCCTCAGCACAAGAAGGTCATGGACCTGTTGGAGCGAGTCCAGAGCAGGCCATGAAGATGATTCAAGGGCTAGAGCACCTCTGCTGTGAGGACAGGCTGAGAGGGTTGGGGTTGTTCAGCCTGGAGAAGAGAAGGCTCCGGGCAGACCTTAGAGCAGCCTTCCAGTACCCAGAGGGGCTGACAAGAAAGCTGGGGAGGGACTTCATACGAGAGCATGGAGTGATAGGACAAGGGCCAATGGCTTTAAACTGAAACAGGGGAGATTTATATTAGATGTAAGGGAGAAACTCTTCCCGGTGAGGGTGGTGAGGCAGTGGCAC